AACCTTTTTAAATGTGGAGATTTCGCTTTAGCTTTTTCCTTGTTTTTCATCATAAGTCACGGTCAGATCCAGCCTTCCACTAGTTTCTATCCAGTCGGTTTAATGAGTCATACGGGTTCACAGTAAGGTTTTAGTTGTTCCAGAGTCCAAACAGAGGGGACAGGTGAGGCCCGTCCATCCATTCACCACAAGATTACTGTGTTTTACAAATAATATAATTTGCTTTGCCATATTGAAACCACATAATGAGTAATGAGAAGACTTTCAGGGACATCCATCCATCTTTTCTTCTGTCACGTATCCATGTCCAGTCTAAGCACAGACACCCAGACCTTCTCCCGAGCCATCTACTCCAGCTCTTTCAGATGGGTACTGAGCAGAGACATAATCTCTCCAGAGTGTCCTGTGTGGACATGCCTAAAACAACTCACTGAGGATTTATCCTGAAAGAATCCATCTGATTCTCAAACCACCATATCTGGCTCTTTTTAATGTGGAGGAGTAGCAGCTCTACTCTGAGCCCCTCCTAAAACAAAGCGCTACCTCCTCCTGTCTCTAAGGCTGAACTCTGTTCAGAGGAAGCTTATTCTTTCTGATGCTTGTGTCTGTGACATTATTCTTTTAGTCTCTACCTACATCTCATCACCATACCATACATGCGGATAGGAATATAGTAAATCATCCAGTAAATCAACAGCTTAACCTTCACAATCAGCTCTTTCGTCACTACAACAGATCAGTGCAGTGTCTTCATCACTGCAGATGAAGACACTGCACTGGGGTCAACACATCGGTCCATCTCCTCCTCTACTCCACTCTCACTTTTATGAAAAAGTCTCTTTTAATTGTACTGCTTCACTTGATGTTACAGAGAGGATCTTCATCAAGCTTTTCCAGTGCTTAACAAAGAGCTGGGACATCCATCGTTTACTAAAGCATGTTAATGAGCTATATATGTTTATACATCAGCTTGGCTGATCTGATTTGGGTACATTAGGACCCTTGTTATAATCACGGTACATCGAAGTTCCAAGAAAAGTAGCTTTAAATAAACACAGACGTCCCGTCTCAGCTGAAAGCAACAAGACATCAGAAAAAGATTGCATCATTCACAGAAGTGTTTTCATTGTTTCCTTTAAAAGCTATGACCGGTATCAGAGTCAGAGCATCAGCGTTGGCCTCCAACACCTCACAGTCTGCTAACAGAAGCTGCTCCCTGTGACTAAGCTCTATTGTCTGTTATTGGGAGGCTTCGTTCGTAGACGCCTAGGGAGGAACTCAAATCAGCCTCGTTCGATCTGTACTGTGACACAGCGACTGCGTCTTTAAACCTTACAGGGATGTGGTGAAGCATTTACAGATGGGAACACTCTTTTTGAATGGTAAAGATTTGAAAACATCGATCAATTATTAACATCTCCTAAAACTAATAAAAAAATATGAAGAATACAGTAAATGGTACTCCACATATGTGCATATTTCAATCAACGTGCACATTTGGACATTACAATCTTGTGCAACCTTCTTTCCTGTTTCTGCAGTAGAAACCCATCAGATTTAACCCTCAAGCCTCCAAGATAAGTGACAGACTGGGGAATTTTAACAGTCCTGGTTCTGTTTATCACAAACCTTACAATGTAGTGATTTAAAGTAGGAAACCTATAATGTTAAAAAAAACAAAAAACAGATTTCCACAGATTTTTCCATTGTCCAGTTCCTGAAACCTATTACCTGAAAAGTGGCTGTACAAGAATTTAAGTGGTGAAGCACGTATATCTAAACCAGTGTTTCCCAACCTTTCGGAGCCACGGCACATATTTCACATTAGAAAAATCACACGGCACACCACCAAACAAAAATGTCACAAAAAGCAAATTGATAATTTTCCCCTGTGCACATGGCATAGTGGAGTTTGGCTCAGTTTGTCCCTAGTATACCTTTGTTGCTTGCTTCTGACCACTACCCATGCGCTACTAGCACTACTCATGCTAGGGCCTTCATCTGGGTCAGAATGTTCTCCAGGACCCTACTTTTTCTTTTCAAACATTTATCTGTTGCTATTACGCACTGCGTCGTCTCACAGCATGACTATTATGTATTTGTTTTCTTTGTCTTCTTCTGTTTTACTGGCAGTTGGCAACCCATTTAATTAGAGAAGGTAATTGTACTGCCCACTGGTGGAAGAGAATGCTACTCACATCTTTAATCCACGGTTACTAAACCACATCAGTAACTGCTCAATAGTGAATGCCTGTTTTAATTAACAAGTAAAAAAAAACCATCCAATGCCAAACAGAAACTTCCACAGTAAATGTATTATAATTATAAATGACAGCATCACCCCTTTAACAACTAATTTACATCTAGAGCAGCATTTTTCACAAATAAAATAAAATTAATGGCAATAGCAAATAATTCCAGTTGAATGTTTTAGGTTTGAACAAAGATATTCAATGTCTCTGAGAGGGAAAATCTGATTAGTCATGGTTAAATTGTTAATAATAATAATAATGATAAATAATATTATTATTGTTAATCACAATATAGTGCCACATTAATTATTAATAAAGGAATAAATATTTACTTTAATGTCTGTTTACATCGATTACACTTCAGTGCTTTTAATCCTGTTTGGGGTTTTTAAAAAAATATTTTTTACTTTTTGTGAATTTTTCACAGCACTTACCTTTTGTATTAAAAAAAAAGGTCTGCATATTGTTTTTATTTTATTTTGTAATTATGTAGTCAGAAGTAGTCACATTTTATTAAATCTTAAAAGTTTTAAATGCATTTGTGAGTATGTGGGCTGTGCCAATCAATTCAGGTAAAAATATTTGAAAACTGTCCTAAAATAAATAGATGTTATAAAGTTATTAATCTGCAGTAAATGTTTCCTAAACAGATGAACTGATAAAATATAATAATTCCCAGTGAATGAATCTTTACTGATCTCCAGTCTGAAAACAGACAGTTGCTCAGGAGGGTTAAATTATTGATGCAAAGCACGTTTCCCGGTGGTCCTTACACGTGTCTTTTAAATCAGATAAAGTGGTCTCTGGGTCCTGGAGTTTGAGTAAGAAAACAATACAAGTGTGTGTGATTCACTGAGCGACAGCACAGAAACAATAGAGTGTAATTCATTCCAGCTTCAGTATCTGCCAGCGCCGGTTTGAACAAAGTAAGACTGATGGTGTGTTTGGGTCTGTTTGTCCCCCTGGAGCCGCTGGAGTGTGCTGAACAGGCTGGACATCCTGTGTTAGACCGAGCAGAGGAGGAAACGCCCAGGAAGGAACAGGCTCCTGGCAGAAGGCTAAAAATACAGGAGGAGGGGCCCAACATAAGGGCCGGGGGCCGTTAATTTGTCTTCTCCTCTCTAAATGAATTTAGTTTTTAGGTTACCTATCAGCCCCCCAGCAAACCTGAAGTGGACAGAGGGGATGCTCTAAGAGGAACATTTTTCTTTTCAGAGTTTATACGTGCAATCAAATCTCTGATGAGAAAAATATCTGTTAAAAGCAGGAAAATACTTTTAATTTCTGTTTTTCTGTGATCTCTGGAATAAACACTGTATCACCATATCATCTCTAACTGGTTGTGGCAGAAAGCCCGAGGTTTCGTCCTATTAAAAGGGAGTTTTTCCTTCCCACTGTCGCCAAGTGCGTGCTCAACGGTGGTCATTTGATTGTTTGAGTTTTCTCTATATAATTGTTGGGTCTCTAACTTACAATCTTAAGGGCATTGAGGTGACTGCTGTTGTGATTTGGTCAAATACTTTTAAGAAACTTAATTCAATATTACTTTTTTATAGATATAATTACTTTCCCACAGTGTATACTGAAGGTTTTGTGGTATAATATTTACAGATACAGATTTCCAGCTGTATTCTCCTATAATTTTACAGAGGCATTAAACGTTCTATTTTAATTAAGTAATCAGTTTGCAAGGGGTGACCAATAAGAAGAAAGTTGGTGTAAAGAGGAGGAGCTAAACTGTCACTGTTGCAGACAGTTAATGAATTGAGCCCAAATAAGATAAATGAGGATTATTTTCAAACCGTAAACAAGCCAAGCTACTCTGGTAGAATGTGAGATTAAATGTATGAGGTACTCTTTGTCTCAGAGACTACGGCTGATTTCAGTGACTGCCAGAAACTACTCACCAACCGGTGGCTAGTGGTTTCTGGCAGCCACTGAAATCAGCTACAAAGATGGTGCTGCATCAAAAACGTTCTTGTGAATACTTCAGTCGCTAGCAGATTGCTGCTGGTATATAGTTTTCATGGAAGATGCTGATGTTTTTCTACAAACACGAGCAACTCCAGGCCAAGTGGCAGTGAAACTCAAAAAAGGTCATCTCTGCAGTCAACGTATTTCAAAAGGCACAGCTTATACTTTGAATGCAAACATTCCCAGTTTCTGGTCTGTGTCACACTTGTCACAGTTTCACTATAGATAGTCTTTTTTTTAATTAAGGTTCAACCCTGAAGGAAGAACAATGTCTCCATTTTTGATTGTGCACAAGTGCATGACGGCATAAAAGCAAAGAAATCAGTTTAACATCAGAGAAAAATCTGACAATTGTGGGAGAATATGGACATTTTTTATCTGATTCTGTGGATAAAACCATTAAAATGCCTTGTGTTAAGTTTTCTGTCCTCAAGTTAGAAACTGAAATCAGTTGGCATTTTTAAATCAAATGACGAAAGTTAGGTCTCTCATATACAGGCCATGCAACAGCTTCCTGATTAGAAGGTCACATGTACCGCCTCCTTTGTGTTCTGCATAAGAGGATAATGGAGACAAATACGGCCGAACACTTCCTGAGTGGTAGGACATCATCATTTTGTTAGCTTAAGGGTTTTTTTTGGTTTTTTAGGTCATATTTTAAATGTGTGAAAATGCTGCCCACACAATGAGGAAGGCAGAGCTTTTCACAAACACATCATCATTATTTAAACGAGAGTAGAGTTTGACACACACTTGAAGAGGAGCTGAACTCACATTGATTTCCAGACTGCAGAGACTGAGGGAGTCGGCATCTCTGTTGGCCTGTTTCCTCTTCTTCTGCAAAACACAAACAGAATAAAAAACATCAGCGAGAGAGAGCAGGTGTTGATTTTAAGAAGTACGCTTCAAATTTGTTTATATTTTTATTAAATCAGATTACATTCAGAAATGTGAAAGTCGAGTTTTTGTGATGGATCCCAACCGCAACTTTTTAGCTCACTGTTCTGGTTGCAGCTTGCAATCATTTGTGACTTATTTTTCAATAAATTACTATAAATTAAAATATTTTAATACAAAAAAAGCAAGCAGGAAAAAAAAAATCTGTTCAGTTTAATTGTTCAAATTGTTTTTGTCTTATTTCGATCAATCTGGAGAGGAGATTTTAGCATTTTTCATCATTAAATAGTGTCTGAAGAACTTCTCTGGCTAACCTCTAACTCAACACAGAGTCGAATAGTAACCTGTAAGTATCCTGAGAGGAAAAACTTACAGCAAATGAGCAAGAATAATAATAATAAGAAATTTCTCTGCTCAAGTCCGCTCAGATATCAACATTTCAGTAAGTTGTTACCCATCAGATAAACTGAGTTTAATTTACCCAGATTATAATGAATGAAAATAACATGCAAAAACATTTCAACCCTTAACAAAATATTGTGTTATATCTTTTTTCCGCATTTGTACAAGTTAAGGCTCAGTCATGGGGGGGTCACCAGACAAGAGGAGGGAACTGTGCTCTAATTTCAAAGCTAAGCAGTTTAAGTGGTGTTAAGAGGTGAACAATACAACAAGAAGTCCCTTGTTTCCTTTCCTTTGAGAGTAGTTTAGTCTGAATGAGATTTAAATGGAATAGATGCTTTTTCCATTAAACAATGGACACAATCTTAACTCAAATCTCTGTGGATCCTGATTGGGAGTTCCTGCTTCTGTTGGAGAAAGGAGAGCATGTCCAGTAAATCCATAGATTTTCCAGGTGATGGAAAAATGATTCCAGAAGGAGTTAGACTCCTTAAAAAGTGGGACAGGAAGCCTTAATGTGTGTCATGAAAGAGGCCTACAAAGATGGACGTGGTCTACCAATGACTTGTAAGGTCCAGTAACATCTCGAGATAAGCACTTTTGACCTCTTAGGCTACGTTCACACTGCAGGCGAAAGCGCATAAAATCCAACTTTTTTGACCCTAAACGACCCATATCCGATCATGGTATGACAGTGTGAACAGCACAGATCTGATCTGGGTCACTTTCGTATGTGGTACTGAATCCAACACATATCTGATGTTTTAGAAAGCGACTGCTGTTTGAACGGTCATGTTGCATTAAATCCATCTTTTACGTCACTGACACAAGACAGACTCCAATTAGTGCCGGAGAAGCGCCCGAGAAGACATCGCGAACGCTTCCTGGTCATCCAGTGTAGATATTAGTGAAACTGTTGGGAAGACAACGTTGGAGAAACGTGAACATTTTATTTGTACTGTATAATCTGCAGATTGTGACAGAAATCTGCAACTATCCTTTGAAGCACCGCTCCTCTAAAACAGCAACAAGGATAATTATTAGGCCATATCTAAATAACAAAATAACTTTACAACTTAAAGCAAAATTGGGAAGCGTAAAGTCCGAGACAAGTCTTTATATTAAGAGCCATCAGTCAAACAATATTGTTTGGTCTGTGTCTAAACAGAGTGCGTTGTGTGTGACGTCTTCTTTTGTGCATGCGGGCCGCTTTGAGGGTTCACACTAGAGCGTGTTTGCTGTCACATTTTATTTGTAGTGTGAACAAGCAGACAAAAAAATCAGATTTGATCAAAAAAATCAGAATTGAACATTAAGACCTGCAGTGTGAACGTGGGCTTTGATTTTGTAAATCACAAAATCCCCCACACGTGATGGGGACCTGACTGTGAACCTGACTTGTTTATAACAAAGAAAAGCACACCATGCTTGAGCATCTTGTCATATCGAATAAGAAACATAAATAGATATGTTAAACTCATCATAAAAAGCATTTAGTGATCAAGGAAGTTTAGAACCAGAATTCTTTTTGCAGCCACAACAGTGCCCCCCCCCCTATGGTTATTCAAAAGAATGGTAATTAGAAATGCACGCACTTCTGCACGGGCTTCAATTTTTAGGCCTAAAACCTGACACCATCTTCTATATACAGTCTACTACAGGCTCCTATCAGCTGGACTAGGTGGGGGGCAGGTCCAGCTCCACCCATTCTGACAGCGAGCCCCCACTTTGTTTTTCCCAAAAGTGCTGGAAGTAGAAAGGGAACAAACCCAGTGAAATAAACATATCTCAAACTTGTACTTAATAAATATAGAAACATGCACACAAAAAACAAATCCAGAAACATGTCCCCCTTCAGGACGACATCGGTACTGCAGGTTTTTATCAAAGCGGTTCTGATTCTTCACACTCACCCGATAGTAAACAAACAAACAGCAGCCCATCATCAGGATCAGCTCCTCAAACACACTTGTAATCAACTCTGCAGCTCCTTATTCTCCTCTTTCTTCCTCTCCTCTTCCTCCAGGTCCCTTTCTTTTAACCCCAAAGTCACATTCGCCCTCTTTTCTTTTCTCCTCTTTACATGCTGGACAGCACTCGAAATAATTTCTCCTTTGTTCGTCCCACCTCCTGTGAATCACCTCCTTCACAGTCACATTTTATTTCACCTCTTTTAATTCTGTTAAAGTTCTCCAGGTTCTTGATCCAAAAGCCTCTTATTCTGCACCTCCTCTTCTCTTTTCTGACCTTCTTTTGCCCGCTGCTTCTCTCCGCCTGCGTACTCCTGCTTCACCACCTCAGCCACAGTCTGAGCCTCCTCAGCCTCACCACCTTCCTGAGTGGATCTACAGACCCTCAGGAACAGGAACCCTTTACAATGTATGTGTGTGTGTGTGTGTGTGTATATGTGTGTGTTTGTCTGTCCCCTCGGTTCCCACAGGACAAACAGGAAATGACGGATGTTGGGGGGGAAACAAGACGTCTATAATTAGGAGCTGAAGGAGCACGGTGACAGCAGCAGGACAAACACTTACAAAGACTGATCACTTACATCTATCACACATTATTTTCACACAAAAAAATTAAAAAGTAATTATGAATTTTCTTTCTTTCTTGCCTTTTCAAATTATGTTAAAGGAAATTCTTCATTTTGCAACACAGATATTTTTTTCTTAAAGCATATAATTTAGAGTAAACGACTTAAAAAGTGTGAATCACAAAAAAATCAAGCAGAGTGGGGCTAAAACTATTAACTGATGAACTGACAGAGAGAAATTCGCTTCCAGCTGTGCTGATCAGCAATGTTTTGCCTAATTATTAAAGGTGAAACAGCTCTAATTTCACTGGTTACACATTCTGCACAGTTCTTGTGTTTATTACAACATACATATTTTTAATGAGAATTCAGCTACAATATTACCAATAAACCCCTGATGGCTTTAAGTGAATCACATTAATCATCGCATAACAGTGCATTGTGTTCTGCTGGGAAACCCTGGGTCCTGGCATTCATGTTGCTGGCACTACCACACAAACACTTCTACAGACCAGCTTGAACTGTGAGTCATGCAAAGCCACTCTAGTAGAGCCAGACAGCAAAAATATAAAGCTGGAAATGACCATAATAGGTCTCCTTTAACATTAAAAACGTAATCACCTATCTGTTTTCTGCCTCTTTGCAGGAGTCAGCAGTCTAGGCAGAGAGGCCCAGACCTCCTCCACCTCGTCTAGGAAGACAAAATGAGGCATTTCTGATCCAGCTGAGAGACAGAAACTGTACAGCCTGTCCTGCGTCTTCTCGTGGGTGTCCTACCAGTTGGACATGCTTGAAACTTCTTATCTAGGAGGCCTCCAGGAGCCATCTGGGTCAGATGCCTCAGTAACCTTAATGTGGCGAAATGCCCAAAGCTAAACCCAGACACACACAATGAATCTGAAGTTGGTCGTGTCTCCCAAGGCAAAGTGGCTTGTTTTTTTGTTTTTTTTTAAATTAATTTAGTGATTATTACTAGAGGATTGTGGTTCTTGTGTATTGTTTACCAGGTTTCCCAGTAGGGACAATAACAAATTACTGAATTAAGCTGAACTGAACCAAATAGCCTAAATGTGCAAATGTGGGGCTTCAAAACGGGACTTTTGTGTGATGTTTAAAATAATGTCCTTATCTCCAAACCTCAAAACATAAAAATCAAATAAAGAAAAGGTAAAATCACATAACTTGGGTGAGACACCGCTTGCTGCTTTTTTTTTTGTTTTGTTTTTTTGCTGCATTTGTTTTGTTTTTTTATTATGGACTTTGGCACATCCTGTGTTATATAATAATGGAGTCACAGCACAGTTACTGTAACGCAGGGAATAACATGACTAAGTTCATGTGTGGGAATTGTTCTTACCCCTCTGAGAGTCCAGCCATCAGGAGAGAGGAGAGAGAAGGAGGATGTTTTCCTCTGCCGCTTCGACCTGAAGGAAGAAAAGGAGGAAGGAAGAGAGACCGATGAGGAGAGGAGAGAAGCAATAAAGGATGAAAGGAACATGATAGCATGCTGTTACCTCAAACAATAACTAAAAGAAGAAAAAAAGATTTTCAATTTGCTTTTCAATTACTGTTTTATTTATTTTATTTTTTGTAATAACTTCACTAGGATTTAAAAACTTAAAAAAAATACAGAAATTAAAAAGTGAGCAGTATTGAAAGCTGAGTTATTTCATTGCACAGTTAGCAACACATGATTAAGTGAAAACTAATCTTCATACTTGATGAAAATTAAGTTAATTTTTTTAAGGTTTGGCTTTTTAACTATGCAGATTGTCACAACGAGTAAAGGAGGCAAGCCTTCAAAGGTGTGTAAAATATGAAGTGGGCAGAGCTCCACCAGGTGGTTTCTCAAAGTCACTACACCCACGACCTTTTACCCAGTGCAAAATTTGTGTGAAGATCTTTTAGGTGATAATTTTGTGTAAGTTCGGTTAAATTCTTTACTGACCGTTAAATCTTATGAATTTTGAACAGATAAAGGAATGAAGGCGCTCTGGCATGGCTTAGCCTCCATCAGAGTTAACAAAGCTTGGCTTCCATTTATGTGTATGAGGCCGGACATCACTGCTTTTAAAGAAAATACAGGATATTTGTACTTCATTTGTTTTTATTATGGATATCAAACTTTTAAGGTAAGCAGATTATTTGTTTAAGTAGTCAGACTTTCAGCAACAGTAACAACTATAACCCACACAAACTCTTTGTGTCACATTTAGTTTGTAGACTAAACTATAAAGCAGCTCCGCTAAACTGACAAAGTGAAATATGGTGTATATCGGCATAAGGTATGTGGAAATAACTGGTGTGAAACTGCAAGTGTGTTTCCTGTCCTTATAACCTGACAGCTTCCCTCCAACCTGAGCTTCTGCAAGTCCTGCAACTGACTGTGCAAAAATTAGAGATTCAACAAAGTAACAGAAATTGTAGCAAAGGCCAACTTCAGCATCTCCCAGAGCCATCCACTTTTATTTACTGTTAATAGCACATTCATCATTTCTAATCTGAACAAAGGGCTTATGAACGCTGGTGAAGCTGCAGAAGAACGAGCAGACAGAGAGGACACAGACAGCCAGAGACAAACATGTTACATCATTAGAGCCTCTCCCTCTTCTGTCTGTGTGACACAGAGAGTGACAGCAGTACTGCTCTGTTTCCTGGCCTCTCACCCCAGGAAGCTCCTAACTGTGTCTGTGACTTCAGTATCTACCTTCCCTCTGCTGTCAGTGGCACGGTAACTGCTGAGGAGTTCTCTGATTGGATGTTTTTTACTTAAGGTAGAATTCACTTTTAGTCAGTTCTACCTTAAGAATGAGGCTTATGTAAGGCCTGTGTGGCTCTCTGATAAACAACTATGACAATAAATGAAGTTACATCCAAACAAAGTTGCTCCAGAAGTTCTTGTTTCACACTAAAAAAATACAGACTGGTTTGATAAAACAAGAGCAGCTTTGTATGACTCTCAGATCAGTACAATAATCATTCTTAAAAGGCTTTTATCTGAAATAAGCTAACTTTGTAAACGCAAAAATTACTTCGGTTATGCTGACCTCACTATGAGAAACTTTGGCCATGTATGTATGTATGAACATCCATCACTGTGAAACTCCTAAAGAAAAACTAAAGAAAAGCATAACAGGTCCACTTTATTATTGAAAAATCACTTCATCGGGGTGTCTCATATAATCCTGTCTTGTCAGATGCTGACCGTGTCTCACACAATGTCCACATTAGGAAGTTTTGGAGGGTGCCGGTGGCGTAAATATCAGGTTTATGAGCCTGCTTGGACATTAATGTTTTTGCACTTGGTTTGACCTGCTTTTTCTACTTTGATTTTCACTCGCTGTCTAGATTTAAGTACTAAAGCTGTTAGGAGAAGATCCTTGTTTGGGTTTAAATACATCCCACTCACCAGTAACCCTTTGTGTTGAACAATGACTAGCTGGGAATGACATCTTTGTCTCATTATGCCATAACCCAGTGCCAACTTCTCCCAACAGATGACGCACTCAGGCTGAGGGATGCACAGTTTTTTCCCCTCTTTTTTCTTTAGATGGTAGACCATTTGTGCCGGTGGTTCATTGTGATTTGATTCACAGAAAAAAAGTGATCATTCCCCCACCTCAGAAGTGATCCCCTTCTCTAACAGAGACTTTGATGTGTAACTCTGTAATAATTCCCACCATCTGGCATCTGCCACAAAGCCTACAAAATATTGATATCATAAATTAAAACCTCATTCACCGTTTTAGATGGTGATTGGATGGTGTTTTAGAGGATGAAACAGGTCTGAATTGGAAAACAGTGAGCAGCTGTAAAACAATAAGATGCAAATGTGTTTACACACAGTGTATGGTGGCAGATTGTTCAGCGATTGCTGCTTTTTCTCAGCTTTCTGTTGCTTCTTCATTGTGTTTTATGACAATTTTCTAACAATGACATGGATGGATCTGAAGTTACAGACGCTACCAGGCATCAGTATTTGTTTTGTTTTTTTAATCAATAGACCAAAAAACAATTTCTGTCTCATCATGGCTCTAAAGTGTGTGTGTGTGTGTGTGTGTGTGTGTGTGTGTGTGTGTGTGTGTGTGTGTGTGTGTGTGTGACTCATTCATTCCTGGGAGTTGCAGGGCTTTTTCCAATAGTGCAAACCATCCCACCCTGGATGAACTCACACACTTGCACACAGAGTTCTGTTTCCATCACTTCAGAGGACATTATGCCGACTTGAATACATGTACTATAACCCTTAATCTAACCTTAAACCTTAAAATGTTTTAAACTCATTTTTTTTCCCAAGAGGGAGGTGACGTGGTTGAACTCTCCTGCTGAGGAGATCAGAGGTGTGTTTGGCTACACGCACCTCCAGTCTTTCCCTGCCTGTTCTTCTGGTAAATCTTTTATCCCCTCATCTGTTTTTAATATCACTTTCTCAGCAAACATTCAGTTTTCAGACTAAAACAGGGCACTATGCTCAAGGGGAGGCTAGCTGTAGTGAGACTAACTGTGGGAGTCATTTTGGAGTTTTACATTGTTTTGTTCTGTTGTTGTCATCATTAATAAACATGCAGATATGAAACTATCTGCAAATCAGTGAACTATTTAGGAGAGGTCCATGAAGTGGTATCAATCTCAAATGTCAAACCAAATCTTTCATTCTTTGTGCTGCTTCCACTTCTGTCAGCACTATAATCACAACACACAGCTCAGGCACAAAAACGTCTCATGAAACCAGCAGAGCGGCGTGCAGTGTGGGTAGGAACAATTATGTCTAAATGACAGACAAAAAATGTCACCTGAACAACATCTTGCATTGTCCCTTGAAAGCAGCAGAACCACATTTCTCCAGAGATTAACTCCCCACACCCAGTTCATCATCTGTTTTATGACTCTTGAGAAGCATTTCAGACATAGCAAAAGTGGTTAAAATACATTACACAGTGTCAGCCTGTTTTAGTTAGACAGCTGATAAACTCATTGTAAAGTACCCGCCAACACCAATCTGCCAAACTTTTCTATATTTCTATATAACGAGTGAGAAATTTCTCTCTGTTGGACTGAAACAGAGCTGAAAGTACTGCACAAATAGGACTGTACTGAGTTCATATCATTCATCCCGTTTTCATTACTTAGAAAAAGTACAAACAATCTTAAATAAATAAATAAATGATTAAATTAATTTTAAAAAGTTGACCAAATTTAGCTTTTACCTACCTAAAAGTAAAATCTTATTGTATGGAAACCATGAATACAGAAATGAACAAATAGACTATTACAAGGAAAAGCTAGGAAAAAATGTTTTAAAGAAAAGATGAAAAATTATCAGAATTTCAAGCACTAAAAAGAAAAAATGCAAACTGCAAACACACATAAATCACATCTACACATTCTCTTTAACATCTCTTTTGATTTGCGAGTCCAACTTCTGGAATGGGAAGGCTCTCACGGGTGCCCAGGTGCCCGTTGTATCATTATTAAATGTTAATTCTATCTACAGAATTTATTTCTAAATTATATCAACAGAGGTACATCCCATGAGCTGCATAATTAGCAGCTTAATGGGAGTAATCAGTCATTGTCTAAATGTTCAGCTTTCGCAATACAAATGCAGCAGCATTGCATGTGTCTTTGTATACGGACAGAAAGTTTTCGGTCTCTATGAGCTTCGGAGAAATCATTGAAAGTTCCACGCGAGCAGTAGAAGTTAGTGGTATTCAAACCACACAGGAGAACTGTGACTATTATCACATAACAATCACCAATGTGGTGAAAACAAGTATCAAAGCAGCAGTTAATCATTTGACAGTCAGCCTTTTATGGACCCCTGAAATGTGGAGAAACTTGAGTTACTACACGTACAAGTAACTACAGAACACATTTGCGTATGATTCATAATATTACTGAAGCCCCAAAGGCAGAATTCCTGCATACAAGAAAGATCTGCCTATCCCACAGAAGAAATGCAGGTTGTATTTACTGCATGCTTTGTTACTAAAACTTTGTGTGTGTAGGTGTTACATCTAAAAACTTGTGTATGGAAGGTCTTTCAGTGTCTTTTTATTAAGCAGGACGAGACTTCCAGGTGTGATGTTTGTTATTTACAAATGATCATGGAAGCTACATCCATCTTTTAAATACAGTATATGATGAACCCAACCACGAGGGGGCCACAAGCCTGTGTACCCCTACTGCCGGTCCCAAGCTCAGATAAATGGAAAGGGTTGCATCAGGAAAGGCATCCGGCCCAAAATCGTTGCCAAATTGAACATGTGGCTCATAAAAAAAATGGCGTTTCCATATTGGATTAGTCGGGTTAACAATAACTGCCTCTGGTGCTGTTCGCCAACAAGGAGCTTGTGGAAACTGTGGTACTGATGGCTGAAGACAAAGCAACAGGAGAGGGGGAAGGCATGATAGGAGACAGTGAGAGAGAAGGTAAGGAATGAGTGTGGAGATGAGAGTAGGCTGATATATATGGATATATTGTGTGTACAGGAGACTAGGTGGAAGGGAAGCAAGGTCAGAAGCACTGAAGGAAGATTTAAGCTGTTCTATTATGGTGTAGATAGGAAGAGGAATGGAGCAGAGGCAATCTTGTAGGAAATGTATATGACGGTGCTGTGGGGGTGAAGAGAATGCCAGACAGGATCACAAGTGAAGGCTTGAAATATTCAGTTCCATTTCAATTCAATTTTATTTATACAGCGCCAAATCACAACAACAGTCTCCTCAAGGCACTTTATATTGTAAGGTCGACCCTACAATAACACATACAGAGAAAAACCCAACAATCATATGACCCCTATGTGCAAGCACTTTGGCGACAGTGGGAAGGGAAAACTCCCTTTTAAATAGAAGGGGTGATGTTGAATGCTGTCAGTGAATATGAGCCACAGGCTGGATGTCAGCAGAGAAAGACTGTTGATTAAAGTAGACTTCAATTGACATAAAAGAAAAGGGACCATAGGTGATGAGGAGGTGATGAGGAGGTCATGAGAAGGTAGGTTAGGTATGGCGTCAAATAGAGAAAGGCAGAAAAACACAAATGGTGGTGGATTTTGAAAAAGGATGGAAATGGCTGTGGCAAATATGCGCTTCAAGAAGAGGGAGGAACATCGAGTGACATAAAAGAATGGAGGAAGGTGCGGGCAGGTGGACAACAGCTTATGCAGAAGGTGCCATTTAAAGACACAGGAGACTGTGAGATGGTGTCAGGGGAGACTGTAGCAAAACAGCACTGGATAACAGTCTGTAGGATTACTTTGGAAATCAAAAAGAGGAAGTGAGTGAAGACAGAGGCTGAAGAAGGAAGAAGGAAAATGGCTGCACAGAGTTTGGGGGGAGTTGACACAGGCTTTAAGTTGTAGTTAAGAGTTACAAGAAGAGTGTGAAAGTACAGCTGTAGTGCTGAGAGAAACTTCCAGAAAGGTATCTGATGTATCCTCTGGACAGAGGCTTGCTCTGGAAATAAGTAAGGGACTGAAATTCAGCAGAAATAAAGCATAATACATGTGTACAAGTGAGTGGGAGGCAGATGAAACAGTGAAGTAACAGTGAAGTTGTGAGGAATAAACACCTGAGATCAACCATCCAAAGCAATGGACAGAGCACAAGAGAGCTGTAGAAGAGAGTGGAGGCAGTGTGGAGCAGCTGTGACAGAATGATGGCAGCAAGAAAGAAAGGGAAGGTTTACAAGACAAGTGAGTGAGGCCTGCTATGACGTATGGTTTGGACACAGTGACAATGACCAAAAGATAGGACGCCGAGCTGAACATGTTAAGATCTTCACTGGCAGTGACTAGATCGGACAAGGTTAGAAATGAGAACATCAGAGGCACCACTCAGGGTGAACTGAGTGAGTGAAATGAGTTTTGAGGAGGGATAGTGGATATACTACTCAAGCAATGTTGAAGACAGAGCTACCAGTCAGAGGAAGAAGAGGAAGACCAAGAGAAGACTCATGGATGTAGTGAAGAAGGGGATGCTAGGTAGGGATAAGGTGGGACAAAGGTAGACGATCTGCTGTGACTAAAGGTAGTCACAGCAGAAGAAGAAAAACTACAGTCTATGATGAATGCCAGTTAGAGATCACCAGTGGGTAAAATTTTTCAATGCTATACTGTCTTAATTTTAAAATTCCCAATGGATGAGAGCATGGAAATGACCGTGGTGGAACATATCTCAAGTACTTTTTGTTTATTTAAATATTTCTATGCTACACTAATATTTTAGTTTGTACTCTATAACTTATCTAAAACCTTTAGCTAGTTATAATTTTGAAGTTACTGAAAGGTGATAAATTATCCTGTATTTATATGGATGAAGTAGCATCCAGGATATTCAAATAATCTCTCACTGCAGCAATAAAGTGACTTTTTTTTTTTCAGTGATTATTCTACGATCCTCATACTCAGTCATTTTAATTTATATATAATGTTTGTACTTTACATATATGACGTAAATACTTCTACCATTTCAAATGTTTAAAGTCTCTATGAAGCACCAAATTCCAAATATAACACATCTGTATGAGGGCACAGGGCGGCTAATGTTAAAACTCAGACACTGACTTCTACGCTGTATTTACTGCCTGCCTCACAGAGTAGGACACCTGCACCAAATATGGTTATGGAAGTATAATTTTGTGAGCAGAAGATTTTTAAAAAAAACTTGTTTTAGAGCAACTTCTGATTTGAGCTCCCAATGAACAGCTAAATTAGAAGTTAGTTCAGCTGATACTTATAAAAAAAAATAACTGTCCAAATAGAGAGGCTTGCTTCTAGAAGGACTATGAATCCACACCGCCACACTGAATCCGAAGAGAAGCAGCTCTCCATCCTTCAGAGACTCGCTCCACCTTCTGGTTTGATATTTGTGGAGTGGGATTCGCACAGCAGCGGGATAATGAGGCCCAAACACACATCAAAGCCTTGAAGAACTACTTAAAAACCAAAGTAGGCGTCCCAGCAAACATGAATTTCCCTGCAATCACATGATCTCAACCTCACTGAACATTTATGAAGACCGAGGAAGTTCTTTATGAGATCATCCTGGAGCAGCGTGGGTAAACACCAGCTTCAACAAATGCTATTTTGCATTTAAGTAACCAAAACTAACACGAACTAGCATAACATCACATCACTCCAGAGCTTCAGCTGCTAATTCAACAGTATCAGAAAACTGTGACTTAAACAGCAAACAAACATCAGCTCACACCAAACTGTCAGAGAGTCAAACTGTCTGCAGAAGGCTGTTTATCTGAAATGTACTGTGTGGTACAGGTTAAAATCATAGCAAGGGCCTCACAAGGACAGAAGCCAGTGTGTGTGTGTGTGTGTGTGTGTGTGTGTGTGTGTGTGTGTGTGTGTGTGTGTATTCCTTTTTGCTAGCACTAGCTTGAGTTTTACAGCTTGGGAAAACAGAGATCCTGTCTTTTGGTGCTTGAAAGCTTTCTTTTATGGCTCTGAATTGAATGAGGTGAATGAGGTCCAGGTTAAGTTCAGGGGTAAAGCTCGGGGTCCTCACAGAGATAGACTTGGAGCCTTGTGTGTGTTGTGTGTGTGTTTGCACAAGCTATAAGTCACCCTCTCATGCAAACTTGTGACTCATGAAGCAGTAATAAAAACCTCTTTCTTTCAGTTTTTTCTCTCTTTGGTAGACTGACTGCCTCTTCAGAGTCTCTTGACTTTAAATCTTCCACATGTATAATAACACCTTATAATTAAACACACACCGGCAGTGATAGGGTTAATCCTAGAATTGCATGTCTTTCCCCGAAACTTTTAATACATTTTCTTTACCAAAAAACTTCAGAAAAAACGTCTCAAGCTTCACAGAGGAGCTTCCCCTCACCTCGAACCCCGCTGACATCCATCACCTGCCTGCATCGGACTGCAGCTCCTCCCAACGAGCCGAAAACAAACCCTCTTTAAAAGAAAAAAAAAAAACAACAACAAAAAAACCCCCTGATTAAACAAAAACAGCAGTCGGATCAGCTGCTTCAGTGAGTTTAGCTCTTCCAGTGAGTGAAAACAAAAGTTTCTTCTTAAAATAAATGAAAGTCCAGCTTCAGTGCGAAGATTTGTGCCGGATAACAACCTGAGAGCGATAAATCCTTCCTTTTTCTATACAGCCGAGTCTGAGCAGCGCCTTCCTTCGAACCTCGCCTTCAAAATAAAAGCATGGGTTGACTTTGAAGATAAAACAAGATATTACTCAAGATATTACTCACATTTAACATTAACATTTTAAATGTGTTTTAGAATGCATTGAGGAAAATTTTAAAAACAGAGACTGTCAAGAACAAATAGTTTAACATTTGTGTAATGCAAAGTAGTATTATGCATTTCCAGATCAGGCTTATTTTTATTCTACAGTAGCTTTGCATGATTCAGTCAAAAAAAAGACTCTGCTCCTTGGTTGCAGCACCACAAATCCTCTCAAACAAGCTGTATTAGTTCTTCCACCTTTACACCAATTTTCTCCTGACTGGATGATACTCACTCATAAAAACAGAGGTTTGAGCAGCAGGTGGGTGGAGCTTCTATCCCAAAGATGACCATATTATACATATTATATCTGCTCTCTATGACCTCATACATATCCAAAAGTTCAAACTAGACGTGGGCAGAATAATCCAAATGTTTATATTATCAATAGCAAAGTTGGTATTGTTATCGGACTGATATTAGTGCAATAGAATTGATACTTTTGTTTCCTCCAAGCTTTCAGTATGTAGCCTACTGAATTCTCAAATCTTTTTTAAATTAATTGTTAATCATCTCTAAACCATGCCAGGGTTTAAGCTTTTATTCTGAAAATAAAAGCAGGCTGTTTGTAGAACATCTGAGATTTAGTAGCTTCTGTTTATTTAAGCCTGGATGCCTCACAGCTCACAAACTATAGAGCTGTCCAGTGGCCTTTATATCAGGGAAGAGTGTTTGTTTCACCACAAGAAACTAAAACCTGTTAGTCAGCTTGAAGCATGTCAGAGTACGATCAGCCATAAAGGATATTTTGATCCAAATTATATTTTGCTACAATAAAAGCTTGCTCATATCCAAATCATCCCCAGCAGGAAGTCATGAAAAGAAAGAAAATAGAAATAACTTTTTTTAATAAGGATTTTTTATTTTCTATATAAAAGGTACTATAAAACAGTACAATTTCTAAAAACAAGTAGCTTACTAAAATAAAAGTCTAACTATACAAAATCATATCAAACATTTCCAGAGAAAAATAAAAGTTATATTTACAAGTAGGAAATGTTACATCGTCCCTTCCAGCCAACTCAAACCTGCAGATGAACCAGAAATCCTCACTCACGCATTCAGCAGCAACTCACTCTCTTGAGCTAGAAAACCATTTTTAAAAAGAAAAACTCAAAAAGCAAAATACTTTGTTCACGTAAATGATAGTCTTCCATCATTGTACATAACGTTAGCAAGGTGTACTAACATTTATGTCACTTCTTTAAACAAAATATTCGATTTTATGATCCGATTATAGTGGTCATGTTACTTTGTTACACCAACAATAAATCTTTGTCAACAAATATAAGACATGAGTATGTTGGAAGTATTTCAAAACAAGATGTGCTTTTAAAGAAGGTTTCTCTTTATGATGCAAATGTCTTTCAAGAAACAAGTGGGCACATTTAAATAAAAAAGGCACCTCTTAAACAAGCTTCATCTGATTCTTTATCTTATAGTATAAGTTTTTTCAGTATTTGGTCTTAAATCATGATAATACAAAATAATATTACATCAAAGCAGTCCCCCTTTTTTTGTATTTTTGCATAATGCAAGAACTAAAAGGGCAAAGGACCTTTTTTCACTCTTAAGTAAAGCACAAGAGGAACCTTTTGAGTAATGCAATTGCCATGATAAAATAGGAATAGTAAACATTACCTATGTAAGCCAGAGATTACTAAAAATGAAAGACAGTAGACAAATAAAGCATCTGTTAAGTCCAGCCTGTATGTGGCAGAAGAAATGTGAAATCTTTACTAGATTTTCCTCTCGACTTGATACACCGATAAGCAAAACAGAGAGAAAACAAAGAGACTGAAACTGAGTTACAAGAATCACCACAACCAAAGCAGATCTGAACTGTTTTGGTTTACTTGATAACATGTTTGGTCAGAGAATAGGGAAGATTTGTTTGGTTATCTGCAGCAATAACAGCTGTGGTCACTGGAAAAGCCCAGAATTGGTGCTTCCCTCTAGAAAGTCTATATCTGTCCCCTTTCTAATGCCATCGCTGTTATGAAAAAAGTCACACAACAAACATACGGCTCCAACCACCGTGTTCTCCATTATGTAATTGTGATAGCTGTTGCTATGACAGCAGCCAGGTGGGTCAAACTTCATGCTAGCATTTTTACCGAAGGTGTGAATGCAAACAGAAAAAGGAAAAAAAAAAGTGTCCTTGATGGTATGCACTTCTGTGGAGCAGTTACTCTGAGGGAGTTTCCCAGAAGTGTTTGGTCCAAAAGTGCTGACTGATGTCTTTAAGGTGTTTATACATTCAGCAGCTTTAAGTAAGAACTGCTTTGACAGTCCTGGGCAGCAAGTAAACTCTTTGATCAGGTTCTGCTTTATCTTGCATTTTCACATCAAAACAGTACTGGAACAGCTGGTTTGTTACAGCATCACGTTTTGGTACCTGACATCAAGTCATACATTTCTGTCTGCCAATCAGGACACTGTGGCCTGAGGCCATCTTTGGTTTGAAACGGTCACCTCTGCCAACATCTGGAGTTCCAGTCCTTCAAAAATCCTCCAGTGGACAAAAAAAAAGAAAAAAGAACTGCAATTACCAAAGTTTTCTCGTGATCAGTGATTAGCACAATTACCAGGAAATACTGCTCTAGAACACAGTGGCTACTATAGCAATCACAGTCATTACTGTTCTAGAACACAGTGGTACCACAGTTACAAAAGAATACTGTTATAGAATTCAGTGGTTCCATAGTTTTCATAGCTATTTATCAACATTCTAGAATTCAAAGGTTACCATGGTCACTATGGTCAAGTGTTTTACAACATAGTGGCTACCATAGTTACCATGGAATAGTGTTCTAGAACTCAGTGGTTAACATAGTTATGACAGATCAGCGTTTCAGAACTCAGTTTCTGTTTCCCACTCCGGTTCCTCCAGCTTCGCCTTCTTCACAAAGGCAACTTTTTGGTCCAAGTTGGCACATTGATTTACAAGATGACATCACCAGGCTAGCCTTCTTTTGATTGGCTGAAGGCATACCCCTACAACGATGCCACAGGTGTGAGAACAGTGTCATTTTGCTCGAGGTGATGATGGTGGTGCAGCTCAGCTTTGCACACCGTGGCAGCGCTGCAGCTGAGTGATGTGGCAGCGGGTGCCTCTTCATCACCTGAAAGACACATAGCAAGTGTGAGCACCATGATCACCTTCAGTCTTTAAGAATCATTTACCTTTGTGCAAAAGTCACATGAGGACATAAGTCAGGGAAATTTGGCACATGCATGTTATTGAAAATGTTGCTTTTTCTAAAGAACAAACAGCAAAGTTCGATTTTATAAAACATCTGTTGAGGTTGAGGCCTTACTCAAACCATAGAAAGATGATTCACTCTCAGCCAGGGAGGAGGAGTCTGCCTGGTCATGTGACAGTCCGTCCATTAAGGGAATAGAAAGCTCTGATGAAGGAACAGATGAATCATAGATGCCTGAATCACGAGGTGGGGGGATCTCTGGAACAGTGGGGCGGCCTTCATCAGCCTGTCCCTGACCAGGGGAAATGCCATCCTGGAGGATGGAAGGACCAGAGGAGGACAAGGAGGAGGAAGAGTCTTCGGATAACAGTCCAGATATTCCAGAAGCAGACCTGTAACAGAAAAAGCATCTGCAGTCAGAATACTAATAATAATAATAGTTATATGTTACCTGCTGTTATATCAGTGAAATTAAAAGAAAACAAAAATGAGGTGTAACACACTTTCCTTTACCTTGAATTGGGATCTAGCATGAACAGAGAAGAGTGTGGTAGGTCTGGACTGGGACAGACACCAGGACTGGGACAGGGGTCAGGGGTGGAACTGGGACTCGGGCAAAGGTTGGGATCAGGGCTGGAACCATGGGCCAGCTGGAGTACGTTCCTCCCCATCACGCCCTCCCCACTCTCCAGCGATGGTATTCGCACCACCACCTCATTCAGCACCAGGCCAGAGTCAAACCTCTGCTCAGCCTGAGATGTCAAGGAGCAGGAAGGTTTGGGCGGAAGGCTCGGAGCCTGGACAGCAGCGAGAGACGGATGTTTGGAGGAAGAGTCAGGAGAGGTAGAGGATGCTCCAGCAGGAGCAAGCTGCTTTTCGAACCAGTCGGGGTTCTGGCTGATGTGCTGGTGCATGTTGCAGATGGAAACGTAGAGCGAGCGCCCGGACTTGCTTCTGAAATAGTTCCTGCGGGAAATGTTAAGAGGCTGCTGCTCACGATCAGTCAGACTGGAATGACTCGAATGGAACCGACTGAAGAGCTGAGGCAGCTGGTCCATCAGCTTGAACCTAAACAGGAAATGAAATTATTTATCAGGCTGCAAGTATTTATCATTTTCATTAAAGTTTGTATTCATTGTTCCCGTCTTTACCTGGTAGCCAGACTCAGCATGGTGGGGATGTCGCTTTCTGTAGAATAGTCAAAGTAAACTGCCATGTATCGGTTCATCTCCTGTGCCCCGCTGTCTTCGCTTTGCTTCGCCTGCCGCAGCTTCTCAGCAATCATGGCAACCGCCACAATGAACAGGTCCCCACCAACCGCAGTAATCGAAGAGCTGCTGCCATTACTACGGCGGCTCACTGGCGTCTTCCCTCGACGGCTCTTCTTTTCCACATAATAGCTGCAAAAAAACAACAGTTATGACAAAAGGGGTTGAAAAAAAATATGGTAAGGAAAAGAATAAAGGTACATTTTTAGTTGACTCCTTACTTAACATTTTTTGTATTTTAGAAACCTGAAATGTTCTTGAAGAGGAAAAGGCACATGGGTATGGCAAGAAGACAAGAGAGACCAAAGGAAAGACGGAAACAAGTGAACACACAATGAAGAAAACATGACACCTGTAAAAAGAGGTGGGACAGAGGGGTGACACACTCGTCAATTAGGTTTAGAAACCTGTGAGCCTACCATAAATTAAATCATATATGCATCAGCATCTTCAACACATTTTGTGTTTTAATTCAACAATTTTAAAAGATTTTACTATAAAGTAACTACTGAACCCCTGACTTATTTGTTAGTTCAAATTCTGATGTTTACTTTTGATAAGTTTTAGAGGCATCTAGTGGCCATTTGAGGAACTGCAGCTGAAGGCACTTTCAGCGCCTCAACTGTAATATTCACAAAAAAATACAATTAAATATGAAGAAAACATTCACTCTGAGCCAGGGAGGAGAAGTCTCCCTGGCTAAATTTAAAAAAGAAGAATGAGACTTCAGAAACAAAGACTAATTAAAATTATACTGTACACTCCTAAAAATTAAGCATAAAAAATAAATAAAACCAAATCAAACTAATGAAATCTAAATTCTAATAAATGTGATTGTCTGCTTATTTTTCTATAGAAACAGGAGGGTAAGGTGAGTACCGCAGGCCTTTGGAACAGACGGTGATGATGAAGTTTGCTTCATCCAGCTGTCTGCTGAGCCATGACATCTGACCCTCTTTGCACATCTCCAGGTGTTCCCACAGGTCCAACACAACCTGAACATGAGTGAAAATAATCAGTTTGATTTTTTTCATGTTTTCTATATTTTTTTCCTCCAAGTCTTTTAGTGGTCCTCAGTTTCGTCTTCATGATCGTCTCACCTCACAGCAGCAGAAGTCCTGCAGGAAGAAGGCGAAGCTCTGGATGACACTGGTGTGTTTGGGACAGTCTCTGTTCGAGTAGCAGATGAAGACTTTGGGGCGGGGCCACGGCCGCTCAGTGGTCAGTGCTGCGCTGTGATTGGACGACTCGCTGCTCTCCTCATCCAGCTGACTGTAGATGTTTTCTAAAGGAGGGAAGAGAGGATTGTTTTAAAATGCAGCCATAAATTTAAAGTATGGTGACCGAAATTCGGCAACTGCATTTGAATGACAAATGACAAAAACATTAAGATAACGGGGATGTCGTGCAGTCACATTGATTGATTGACTGATCATTTATTCCGAGCATGAATACAGCTAATACTGTCTTCTAGTACAAGTGCTTGAAAAGGAGTGGAAAGAAGTAACACTTATATATTCTCACCCTTTTGTAATGCAAAGGTTTACAAGGGTAATTGCTTTATACTGTGTACACCTCTCAAGATAGTAAATCTGGGGCCAGTTGCTGTCTAAAGGAAAGAAAGTCATTTACACAGCAGATGATCACTATCACTAATCATTACTAACAACATTAAAATGGGAAGAAACTGAGCCCCTTAAAATATGAATTATGGTTCCCCTCACCTTGCTGCTTCTTGCGACACATGACTGTGAAGAGGGTTGCAAATGCTGACATGACAACCAGCGGCACCGTGATGGCCATGGCACGGATAGGTCCCGCCCAGGGGGAGTGGACTGGAGGATGGAAACAAACATACCCATTTGTGAGGCAATTAGATCAGACTGTTATTTCAGTATTTCTTTGCCACAAAAAAATGATAGTAGTGGGCAGGGCAGAGTCAATAGGTCTGAACTGAAGTTGATGTTTCATTGTGTGCACACAATGAGAACTGATTCCTGGAGTAATCCTGACTCGTTTCTAGATCCAGTGGATACATAATCTCTCCAGTGGGTTCTGGATCTATGTCGGGGTTTCGTCTTAGTTGAGCGTGCCAGGAAAACTTCTACAGGGAGGCTACCAGGAGACATCCTAATGTCCAACAGACTTTTTTAAACTCGGGGGAGAAGCAGGATGCTGAACTTTATTTTACTAAAATTCACCTTGGACCCCTTTGTTGTGTAGAATCAATTTTGGTTTGTAGTTACACCTCCAGCCACTAGGTGGTGCTATTTTTTTTATTATAAGTTAAAGAAATCAGAAAAGTCAGAGATCCTTAATGAGCTGACAAATTAGTGAAGAGGCAAACTCCTTTCTGGCTGCCAACATGTCATTGTATTCTATTGCCTCAATGTGGACAATGCCCTGTGCTCAGCATGTGGTAAGATGATATACAGAGTCATGGACAGACCAGAGCATTCACTGAAAACATGTCATTAATGTCTGACTATGACAGCCCCTCAGTGGCTTTAAAAAAATGGATTAAGACTGTCAGTAAATCAGGAACAGCAGTGTTGCACAGGTGGGCTGTTCACAGTGGATTCAGCTCAATTATTTTTAGTGCAGTCATCGTAGGAATATTTACTTAATGTTGTATTTTTAAATCAAACTAAAGACCCAACAATACTAAAGATGAAATGGTGGGATGTCAAGGTGTCTGTGGCCGTCTTTTATATACAGCATACTGTGTGGTTGTGTGCATCTCACCCTGGCTGACGTGGTGCTGAGTGTGCATCCTGGTGGTGTTGCTGTCATCTTTCAACTGGAGAAGAGAAGAGTGTACTGTTTAAAACTGATCATTTTTGGTCTATAAATCATCTTCGGTGAGGACTAGGCTCCAGCAGAAACCAGTTTAACCAGCTGTGAATGCTCTAAATGGAGCTCAGCTCTGTGCTACATTCATGTACCTCTATAGTGTAGGTCCCTGGAGTGACGTCCTGGAGGATACATGTCGTTCTGGGCTGATTCACATCCTGGAAATGGTAAAACACGACACTTTAGTTTTCAATAAAGACTAACATCTGCAATTAAATTTTAGCTTCCAGATTCAATCCCAAACTCCTTCTGACAACGCACACACTTTAACAAAAGCCTGCTCAGGAGGAGAGGAGGTACAACTGAAGGCCAAAGAAGTTTTAAAAATGTTTTCAAAGCACATGAGAAACAGTATGTTCATCAGTTTATTGTACAAGTATTAAACAGTGGTGTCGGTATCAGTGGGGAGTTGGTGCCGCCTTAATATCAACCCTGATATAGTGACGGGACAGGTGTGCCTTTTTTCATTCTTCACAAAACTGCTTCTTTCTTTCCTCACAACCCCTTAAAGTGCAGAAACTCCCCTGTGTGTGTGTGTGTGTGTGTGTGTGTGTGTGTGTGTGTGTGTGTGTGTGTGCGCGCGCGCGCGCGCGCGTGCGTGCAGTTTGTGTGTCTCCTGATGGTGTTGATACTGCGAAGACAGACAAAAGAAAAGAGCTGCTGGAGCGAGATCAAGGAGGATGCAGTTAGGACGAGGCTGGAACAAAAGCTTTTCACGCCACCTTCCAGTCCGGACATGATCGGGTAGAAACTCTGGATGTGGTTGGATGAGATTTAGGGGCAAATTATAGGCTTCCACATCAAATTCATCGCAAATAAAATGTGTTTACAGCTGCTCCACATTGGCCACACGTGAAGGCGAAGTGAAAATATGACCATTATATAGAGCTGGGAAGGGGGAGGGACAACACACATTTTCACAGAAAATACTAGAAGAAACTATGCGAATAGTTTGGAGAATCAGAGAAATCACATGTTTGTAACAGACTGCTAACTTGCTATTTCAGGGTGAATCTGCCACAAGAGCCCATGTTTTAGAGCATCACACACTCTACCGCGAACCCCTCAACTGTAGCACCAAGCGAAGCAAAATAAGGTCCAATGATGCCAATGTCTATTAGATTCAGATAGGACTCCAATGGCCAGCAATCTCAAATGTTCTTTTCAGGCAAGTCCAAACAAATGTATTTATTGAAAGGAAAGAATTCAATAAAAACACGTCTTTACAGGGTTTCAGCAGCGACCAACAAAAAGCATTTCAGTTCTTTTTGTGGTGGCAAACAAAAAAAAAAGGACAGAGTAAACCCTCTTCTGTAATCTAAATAAATACATCTCTGGAAACAACAGCATTCACTTTTTACCCACAAGCTGATCTGCTTTCCAAAACAAAGAAGAAAAAACATTCTTTGGTAATTTTCCATACAGTTTAATTCAGCTTTTTCCCTCAAACGATTAAACCCTTTTTTCCAAACAAAACTTAAGAGCTTTCATGAGAAAATCTCTGGTGGTCTACAGGTACTCAATAGGCACCAATATAACCTCTTCCAGTTTAACTATCACAGAAAGAGTCCACCCAAGCTTGTTTTCATATTTTTACATGCTGTACTGCCTTTGTTTTTTGAGAAATTCAACTTACTGTTTATTGATAGAGCCCAAATTTTAATAACGTGTATGTAATAAGTCCATAGTAACCAAATACATTACTAAAAGTGAATTTTTTTTACACATTTTTCTAGATACAGAGTTGTCATGGGTGTGTCCCTCAAAACTGTAAACAGGAAATTTAGCTTGAGTGTGTTCATAAATGTTTGTAATGCACTAATTTTTATAAACTGTATTAAAAATAAAATAAAATGCATATGCAGTTTGAAGAAACACAGCATGTACAGCAAAATGAACTATTTCCAGTAGTGCACTCAAAGTTCTACGTGTTCAGCTTATATGCGCAAAGGCACAAAGTTAAACAGTTTTCAGCAGCCGCAGTGGATCTGTGATAGGCCTTGGAGAAAAAAAATAAATAAATACTACAGCTGCTCGGGAAATGACATCATTTCTCCGCTGTTGCTGAAAACCACGTGGTAGTTCACGGTGACAACGTATATTCCAAGTGTTGTTAACAGCTGGTCAGATTGATAGAGTACCAAAGGAAACAGCGCTCTGGGACAGCTGATCTCGTGATATTTAAGTGCGGTTGCATGCAGAAAGACTTATTGCTATAACTTATTTGGTCGAGATATGGAAATGGTGATTGCAAAGGGTTAAATATGATACCAGTTCCTCAGGTTCTGTCATCTCCTGCTACCCAGTATATTTTCATTCGCCTACACAGTCCTTTGAATTTGAATCTGTTTACGGAGATTTATTAGAGTATTTATTACAACAACTGTCACGTTTCTCATTAGAGGTCACTGAAAACCTGCTCGAACATGGCGGGTTTTAGAAAACTTTTATAAATCTGAACTTAACTGATGTCAAAATGTATTAAACACAGCTGATCTTACCGGTTTGCAGCGCTGCAGTTTGGAGGGTCCGTCCGGTCGCAGTTTGTAGTACAGGTAATAGAAATGGAAACCAAAGGAGGGCGGAGCCTGATCAAAGGCCACATGAAGGCTTGATCCGAGCTGAGACACGTTCAGCGTCTTTGGTGTCCAGACTGCAAACACAAGAAATAAGAACTCTAAACTCCCACGACCTCTTAGATATTGCGATAAAACAAGTACAAGAAGAACCTTTCAAAAAATACAGCAACATTTCAGAAATGTAGGACCACATTGTTGTCTTTTTTCGCTTAAGGTCACCGTAGCCTCCCCTATTTCTCATCATTTCACCTACACAGAAAAACTTGAATAGTTTGTGCAAAAACTAATTCACAATAAACTGATCTAAGAGCGAGGCGGGGCTGGGTCCAGCTTTGGTAGTGTAACCAGCTCCCGAGTAAGTCGGCCTACATGTGGCTCTGGTTATGATGACGACACTGAGGAACTTACATGGTTTGCAGACCAGGTTGTCTGATCCGAGGAGCATTTCACACGCTGTAAGGAAACAACAAAAAAACAAAACACACAGAGAGATGGTTACAAAGTTTGTTTTATTGTTCTCATTGTACAGCCTCAGTTTTGTCTCAGCTTATTAAAAAAAGGGGGATGTTTTGGGAAAACTAGTCTGGCTTGGCACATAGTGAAACACACAACCTCACAGCAACTCCTAAGCTTTATGCATGTTCTGTCTTGTGATCCATTTAAACTCACTTCCAAGGTGGTGCATGCATCTCGGAGCAGTGCAGTAAATCTGTCAGTCTAGCAGCATTTTTGTTTTTATTCTGCTTCCAGTATTTAATGAACACGTTTCCATCTGACTCCACATGAAAGTAAACACTGTTTTCTTCAGAACGGTAATTTTTAGGTGTCTCAAGAGGTGAGGACACTGACGTCACGTCTCTTCATTGGCTCCCTGTTAAATCCAGGATCAAACTTAAAATTCTTCTCATATACAAGGCCTTGATAATCAGTCCCCATGTTATCTTAATGACCTGATAGTACCATATCACCCCATTAGAGCACTTTGGTCTCAGACTGCAGGCTTACTTGTGGTTCCTAGAGTATTCAAAAGTATAATGGGAGGCAGTCTCTCCAGGCCCCTCTTCTGTGGAACCAGCTCCCAGTTTGGATTCAGGAGACAGACACCCCCTCTACTTTTAACACCAAGCTTAAAAGATTTCTCTTTGATAAAGCTTACAGTTTTAGCTGGATCAGATGACCTTGAGTCCTCCCTTAAGTTATGCTGCAATAGGTCTAGACTGCTGGGGCTTCCCATGATCCACTGAGCGTTTCTTTTCACATCTGTTTTCACTCACTGCATGTTTACACCTCTCTGCATTTAATCATGAGTTATTATTAATCTCCTGGCCTTTTTTATCCTGTCTCCCTCCCCTCCGCCCCAACCAGTCACTGCAGTTCTGACGGAGGTTTCTTCCTGTTAAATAGGAGTTCTTCCTTCCGACTGTTGCAAAGTGCTTGCTTATCTGATTGCTTATCTGCATTATTGTAGGGTCTTCACCTTTCAATATAAAACGCTTTAAGGCAACTGTTGTTGTGATTAAGTCTTTATACTTTAACTTTATAAATAAAACTGAATTGAACTGATTTAAATAGAAAAAGAAAACATAAAAACAAAGCATCTTGTATCTTGTTTTTGTTTATGTCGTCACATGTATTACATACCAGCTGTATACATAAACACTCACATGGTAGAGGCTTGTGCATCCTGAGGTAGCCACGCCCTAAATCATACTCTGTTTTATCGTGCCTTGGAAGCCTAAATGGGACAATTATATTATAACAAAGAAAACGTAAAACTATGCTCACCTCTAACCAGTCGTGGCAGATGGCTGCCCCTCCCTGAGTCTGGTTAAGTCTTTACCTTAAAGTGTAAAGTGCCTCGAGGTGGCTTTTTGGGATTTGGAACAGTAAGATGATGTAAGAGGCGCCTGAAAAGGCTTTTCTAAACAATCAGTGAATCAGCTGATCGGCTAAAAACTCAGTCCCATACATTTGTGAGACATGTGGGACTCACAGTTAGTTTTGAGGAAAGATGGAGGGAAGAAGCTCTCGTTCATCTGAGATGGAAAGGGAACCACACGAACCATGTAGTCGGTGTCAAAGTTCAAACCGCTGAACGGCTGACTGCTCAGCTTCTGTACATGAAAACATTAACAAACACAAACGTTCAACGGTGAAATTAGAAGGAAATTATGAGCGACAGTCTTCAGAGGAAATGAAGTAAATCGAAATAATACAGTTTAGCAGCAATGGTAAATCTCCGAGTTAATAAAGCACAAACATGTTTGCTTCATCCATTCATCGGGAACAGTGCACATTAATTGAGGTCATTGTGCCAACATTTTTTATCTGTGGGCTGCAGGCATGCATTGATTAAAAGCAGTAAAAAAGATAAAAGCAGACTCTAATGAGCATGTATGTGGACTTATTAAATACAACATCTCAACAGAAGAGTGACTCAGTGAGCCAGCTTACACTGTGTGGTAATTATTTCAAGGCTTCAGGGCCACAGATGTTTCAAGGATTCAAGTGTTTATCTTTGTCCAGGCAGTCATGTGCGAGTTTATTGTCAGTGTCCTATAATGACGATATTTTGGAAGAATGAAGACTGCAGATTGTGTTCCTGATCTCTTACAGTACATTACCATCAGCTTAGGAGGAGATTATTACACAGCCAGCCTGCAGCGGAAAGGATTGACTGAAACCACCAAGGGAGCTGATGTAATTTCATATCGATCGAGGGCCAAAAAGCAACAAAAAACAAAAGGATGAAGTAAAACAAATACACATAACTATATTCTGAGAGGTCTGCACAATGACTCAAACTGCTGATGTTAAGCCTAATATGCATTAACAACCCAAGAAACTGCAGATGCAGATCCAGAGGTATGCCTTATTGAGACCCAGGCTCTCTGTCCACTCCCAAGCAAACCCAGAATGGTGTCAATTACAAATCCCTATTTTGAAAATAGAAAGAATTAGGAGTGTTCGACTTGTTTATGCATGTCTGCTTCATTTTACAAAAAGTGTGCAGGGATTAACGTGCTTATCCCTCAAAACAACATTTTCTTCAGGGCTCCTTGTCCCCCTGTTCCAGCACCCTTGATAGCCGCCTCTAACACGCTTACATTTGGAAGAAGCATCTTATCCTTTGAGCGATGTGCTACTGCGGGAAATGTGAAAAGCCAGCAGTTCAAAGTGTTTTTGTGGAAATGGCCCTACCGTGTTCTTGTAGGAGAAGTTGAGCTGTCGTGGGTCTTTGAGGATGAGGTGTTGACACTGTTTCCCTTCTGGATTCTTGTCCTCCAGGTAAACTCTGAAGCCTTTAATGTGTTCAATCCCTGCAGAGACGCAACAGCAAGTTCAGTCTCACCACGTCTGCATCCATCTTTTCTCTTCCTCTGTCCTCACCAGTCTTTTCTCCTTGCCTTTTACCAACACATCCATATCCTTATTCACTCTCTACACTACACTCCTAACCAGATCTAGTTTCATTCCTACCTTCTTCTTACTCTTCTTTCTGCCTTTCCTTGTTCCCTCCTCTTCATCCATCTTTCCCCTTTTCTCTGCTGCACTCATTTCTATTGCACAGTTAAGTAAATGTTCTACTGTATTAGTAGCCCTTTGATTTGAGGTGGGATTTTTAGGTGGTTATGGTAGAGTTGCATGAACATACCTTGATATAAACACAGGAGAAATAGGTTTAACGTAATACCTTGCCAGTGCGTGCTTGTCACAGCTAATCGACAAACTTACTGTCAGAAAAAGGCAAAAGACTGAAAAGGTGGGAATCTGATGTGTTGTGCCACTTTTGTGCATGAACTCCGGCCATCATGGGGATAATACAGTTTGGGGACTTTCTTCTGTTATCCTTTCTGATACGTAACACACAGCAGGAGACTCCGAAGCATGAGTCATCTGCAGACGTATTCTCACTGCCAGAAACACATGTTGTTTTTGGTGCAAGTGTTGCCTGAATCGAGGCCACAGGTCAACCGTTGCTTACTGTTACCACTATTACTTGTGGTATTCTCACTTTGTACTAAGGAGCTGGGAGATTAAAGACCACTAAACATCTTGCGATTTGCAGTGTCAACAATAACTCTAAACAGTACTATAAAATCTTGCATTTAGTTATGAAAAATTATATTTGATGTAGAGAAAGGAAAGTAGCACTAATAAGCAGTAGGGCAAAGACGATACCTTAATCGGTGATTATAAATGGGCACATAGCAGCTAATAGCCTAATTTTCTTCTTTACAGTCTTGCCAACTCTTTCAGGATGCTTCCTTCAGCTAATCTTTTTGTGCCCTTTCCTCAACTCTTCTTTTCAGACCATGAAAGGTCTAACTGGTTTTGATACCTGGTACTTTTCTACAGCTTATTTTACATTACAGATAGTAACCAGTCAGTGTAGCTGGGAATCATCCCAGCTAAACAGCAACCAGTCACGGCAGATAGCTACAATTAAAAACCAAATAGTGTGTAGAGCTAATTCACAGAGTGATAACAAGGCCTCAAACCTACCCTTGTTTCCTTCTTTCCTGTGCCTCCTTATATCTCCGCCTATCCCCTAGTTCTCATTTTTCTCCCCCCTCCACTCTGTTCCTTCATTTGCATGCATCTCCTCTCGTCTCCACCCTCCTTATTTTCAGTCCTCTTCACTTCTCCTACAATCCTCCACGCCTTAAACCCCCGTCACTCCTCTTTGAAAGCACACCTGTCTTTTAATTATACCTATACATCGACCGGACATGTTTTTCATATTAGCTCTCCAGGAGAAAGACAGGGAACATGAGAGAGAGATGCAGCAGAACAGGTTTTTCTGTCCTGAGGCATATTTCTGAACACCTCTCTTGCTCCCTCTTTGTGAGTCGTGGATGTTTTGCATTTTAACAGCAGAAGCAGCCTGAGGTCACAATTGATCTGTTTTTCTTTCTCTCCTTCTCTTCAGTATAAATTTGGACAATCTTTATTCAAACTCAATAGCAATCAAACAAGAACCACGAGTATCTGTTTATCACAAATACAAATCTAAAAAGACCCCTTTTCACCTCTTTTATAAGATCGGACACATGTAAAGAGTTTATTGTTTGTGGTGGACGGTATTTTTTGTAAGTCGATCGAGTAGTCTGAATTGTGGCATGAATGGTTATGTTGCCTCACAGGAAAGAGTTTCTTGCGTCACCTGGGGCCTTTCTGTGAGGATTTCCTACAGGTACTCCGGTTTCCTCCCACCCCCCAAATACAAGTTAAAGTTAATCTGTGATTCTATATGGGCTCCGCATGTGAGCAAGGGAATAAAATCTATAGAAAAAAAGAGTGAAAGTACGAGTAAAAGTAGCTTGTAGTTGAGTTGCTTTGAGTGATCAGCAGTAGATGCTCTACTGCATCTCTCTCTCTCATGTTCCCTGACATTATTTTTGAAGATTAAATACAGCTGCAAGAATTTAAACGCTAAGACTAGGCTCAGTTCAATGTGATGATGCTAAATGTCTCCAACAACTAGTCTTATTTATCCCTGGTACGTAACATGTAGAAGCTTTGCCTTCTCTGGGAAAAACACAGTGGAAATATCTAACCAGCTATCCATTCATCTGTTATTTGCCACTTATCCTGTGTCGTTTGGGCAGCAGCTTAAGCAGAGATACCCAGACCCTCCTCCAGCTCTTCTGGACGGACACTGAAGTGTCCCCAAGCCAGAGAGCAATAATCTCTCCAGACTGTCCATGGCCTGCCCCCAGTGACAGAGCTGCTCACCCCAAGGGTCTCTAAGGCTGAGTCCAGCCACCCTTCCTACAGCTCGTGACCACAGCTGGGGGTGGGAACGTAGATCGACCAGTTGACAGCTTTGCTTTCATGCTTAGTTCTCTCTTCACCACAACAAACCTGTACAGCATCACTGCAGACACCACACCAATCACTCGTGACCAAGACCGCAAGACTCCTACTACTCCTACCCGGGGGAAGCAGCTTGTTCCCAAACCAGAGTGGGCAATCCACTCTTTGCTGGCTAGGAACCATGGCCTCAGACTTGTGACTCCGCACACGGTGGAGGTCATGGCTCAAGGAAGCTGACAGACTCACACAAGATCCTGAGACCTCCGAATCCGACAACCTCCACCCCTTTAAGAATTCTGTCCATGAAAGTTCTGAATGGGATCCGTGAACCAACTTCAACCTAGAATGAGTCCAACTTAATGCTGGCAATGCAAAACAAGCTCTCACTGCAGTTAACAACAATTAGTCACAGACCTTAATTCGGGTGACCAAAAAAAGAAAAAAGTCTTCCTGCCCAACTCCCTAATTTTACTCATCTGGTGCGCCACAGCCTTCAGCCTTGTTTCAGATAAATTCTGGGTTTGTCGGTAAAGTCTTGGCTGTCTTACAGCAGTAACCTTAAGCTGTGCAGATCTCAAAGAGGAAATCTGGCAACATGTGAGTATGACATGGAGAATTTCAGGGAGATTTCTGCCTCTCCCCCTCTGTGTGAGAAAACAACGGGCCGTTTTGTCACAGAGAGGGAGAGGCAGCAGAGGTTCACCTTACACTGTGCGCACACACATTCCTTCACGGTCAAATCGCGGCATTGTTGTGTGAGATGCGATCCTCTTTCCCTCTCTTTCCGGCCCCGATCAAAGGGACACACACGCACAGAGCTGGGTAATCTTACGATTTGAGCACTTTGAACTTTCTTGCTCTTCCCTCAACTTTCCCTGTTCTCTCTCTAAAACTGTCTCTCCGGATGATCGTGCAAACAGGCAGGCCGACAGGTAAACAGACCTAGTGGGCTCGCAGACCAGTGGACAACCACGGCGGCCTGATCGTCGCAGGCTAGATGACTGAAGGAGACGTTGGTGACCTCACGGATCATGTGCTTCCCCAGTGGGTAGTTTAATGAGCAGTCTGCAGAGAGAAACAGAGAGATATGAAGAGATTAACAACAGCACAGAGAGCCGCACTTTAACAAAAGATTTAATGGTTCTTGAAACAGAAATCTGAGCCTGATGGACAGAGTAAAGATTAAAGACTGCAGTTAACATCTTCACAGCCATTTAAGGACCATTCAGGCTCAATTCCAGATTCTTGCAGGAAGGTTATGGACTTTTGTCAACTCTGCCGATTCTTTTATTATAGTTTCCAGCTTGTTACCATCCATAAGTTAAAATCTAAAATTAAGTATCTTGAAATTTCTACTTGGCAGCTAAAAACATCTGAGAAAACAACACAAAATTGAGAGAATAACTTGAAATTTGAGACATACATTAGTACAGTAATTAAAAATTACTGTACTAATGTATGTCTCAAAAATGGGAAAATAAACAAATAAAACCACAAAACTATACAAACTATAGGTACAATAGACCAAGATCATGCTAAAATGAAGGATATGTAATTCTGAATTTAAAATATAAGAAAGTTTATGGTCCAGAGCTCTGGTGGGAGATGCTCTGCGCTACTGACCTTTCCTTAATGGTCAGGCTTAAACTCAGACATTTATTTCTATTCTTAGGTCCATTTGTCGTCTTTTCATTTCAACAGCTCCATAAACCTCCTGGTTAAAGTTTCTGCAGCCAATCAGGAGAAAGTTAGACTTAAAGGGCGGAGCTAAAACAGCTTGTTTGAACTGTGAGTTGTTTAAAGCTACTTTAATGAGAGTCCAGAATGACTGAACACAACAGCTCTACTTTTTTAAAAGTCATACGATTGACATCTTTTGTGTGTGTGTGTCATTATCTTTAGATAACCCTCTAAGGAGATACTTTGAGTTAAATTAAGAAATGCATTATTAGCAGATTCCACAGCTGTCCGATCTGTCATCCATATTTTATTAACCGCACCTTCATTAATTCAGTCGCTCTGGGTTGTTTGTCATTCACCTCCTCTCGTCTCCAACATTTCTCTTGTTTTATCTTGAGACACGAAGTTGGAGGGGCGGAGGAGGAGGAGCAGCCAGCCATGAACCGAGAGGGATCGGAGGAAAAAAGATGGACTTAGGATGTAGAAAGAAAAGAGGCGTGAACTCAGACACGACTGACTGCTCCCCTTTCCTCCTGCTAACCATCTATTGACAGAAGTGAGGAAGAGGAGGAAGAAGCTGGGAGAGAAGAGCTTATAAAAGATGGAGACGGATGAGAGAACGTTAGACACGAGTCACTGCTCCTCTTCCTCTCGCCTCTTCATCCTCCTCAAAGCAGGGTCATGTTCAGGGCTAAAGGAGAAGGTCACAGCTGGTTGCTCCTCTTCCTCCATCTTCCGTAGGATGTATGGAGGAGAGGAAGGCTGCAGTTCTTTTTACTCTTCTTCCTCCTTCCCTAATCTTTGGTTTCAGCATTTATAAAACAAAGCAGTGTAAAGACAGAAGAACGAAAAGAGGGCTAAAGTTCACTGCAAACGTTTTCTTTAGCTGTCCCCTTTTTTCTTCCTGTTCGCTTTCCAATTTAAGAAGCAAAGGAGGAGGCGCTCACACAAAGCACAGAAAGAAGAGGAGGCTGAAGGAGACCATCACAGTTGCTCCATTTATTTGTGCATCCTCATCTTCTTTCAACGCTTCATCCTTCAAAGTAGAATTATGACAACTTGAACCTACTGTTTTTAAAGTATCAGCTTCAGCTGATGTTCTTCTGAAGCAGATTTCAGTCTGAGTAAAAAAATTAGAATTATTCAATGACAGTGAGGCGCTGTCAGATTTCTAAAATGCATAATCTTTAGTTTTGGTTAAATCCTCTGGAGCATGTCACACGGTTTGAGGCACTCCGACTGGATGCTCAAATCCTGGACATACTGTCAGCAAACGAAGACCAAAGCCAACAATTAGTTACCATTCAGTTAATTTTCTGAACATTTTTGTCAGCTAGGGAGGGCTGGAACCTATCCCAGCTGGAGCAAAATCCGTGGACATAGTTATGTTGAGATCATCCATGGAGAATAAAACTCAAATAAATGTTTTGACTAGCTTTGCTTTTTAAAACTAGGCTCCAGTTTCGGCCCCCTGAAACTGGTGTATTAAGTAAGTGCTGAAACCAGCAACAAAGACCTTAAATCTTTCCTCTCATCAGGAAAGTGTTTCCTAAGGTTATCAAAGGAGCTGAAGGATGGACTTCGATGCAGTCACACTTCTTTCTTATCATGACCAGAGGAGACATGGATTTGTACAGGTATAAGGCACCTGTTCACTTCTATATGAAGCTCGCTAGCTTCATATTTCAGCCTCGGTTACACAAGGAAGTGTGATGTCAGGTTTGAAATCATCTGAAAGAGGAGGTCTAATATTGTGGCAAAAATGTTTTCACGATTAATGACGGCTGGGACGTGAGCAGTTTATGGGTGCGTCTGTAAGTTAGAGCTACAGAAAATATCCCAAACACGACACTGGACAGGTATCTGACAGAGCTTACAAATGTACGGTTTTAATTTGACAAAATATCCAGGAGTTTTTAAAAATCCCGGACATCACAGTTTTTAAATGTGCATTTGTTTGAATGTGTGGATTAAAAAAAACATTTTGATCATTGGTGAGAATTTCCCACCGCAGGATGGTGTGTTTGCAGCAAAGATGATAAACCCATGACCAAATACATACATACATACATACATACATAAATAAATAAATAATCTATCCTCAACATATTGCTGATCCTACAAATCCTTTCTAGGGAACCTACTGGAGGTCAAAGGTCACCCTGCTTTATAACCCCCATGACATCACTTCCAGCAGAGAGAGGGTGTGAGAGAGGAAGCCTCTGGCTCTCCTTGATCCTCAAACTACTGAGGTGTGACACACACACACACACACACACACACACACACACACACACACTCCGATTGTCATGCTAAAACACTTGAGCGCTTCACTTTAGCTCCAAGCGTGTTTTCATTTCATCTGATCTTCAGAATTCACATGATCTTCTGACCTCTGACCCACACGTCATTGCTTACATAATATGTGTTAAAACTAGATTAAATGAAAATCAGAGAAATGGAAGAAACTCACAAGACGACCCTCAGACAAAAGAATCACATTCTGTTAATAATGCAGTTTGACATTTTGGGTAATACAGGGTGATTTGGTTTAATCTGCAGATAAATGTCAGCAAATACAAACCTACATAATGTTAGCGTAGCATACAGTAAGTGCTGGAGACACAAGGAAAGAGCTGACCTGACTGTGTCCAAACACAGGGGAGGAAATCTTTAAGAAATCAGACTCACTCTAATTTTTTTAAAACTGAACCTGTGAATCAACTCAGAATCACTGAACACAGGAACTGCAGTTACGGCACAAACAGTTAATAAATTAAAGCTGCTGCTGCACTTTTCCCTCATGCACAGTTTTAAACTAACTTTGAAAATATACAAAACATCTTGGATCTTACAGAAGGAGGAAGGAGGACTTTTTACATTTATTAGATGAAACACGGAATAATCTCCACCAAGGTTGAAGTTGTTGTCCACTCCATCCATGTATCAAGCCCCTAGATCCAAATACAGGTTTTCTTATTTAAATTTAATCTGTATTTGTGACAATATTTTTTCCCTATCGCACAAATATAACAATTTTTTTTTTTTTTCAAACTCCTCAATCAACACGAGCAAACTCCATAAAATAGTTAAACCGCATGTAGTTGTTAGCTGCAGGGGTTGCAATAACACTGCAGACAACACACACACACTTTCTGAGGGATCTGAAAGCGTTTCCTTGCTCATGGTCACAGACAAAGAGGGGAGGGAGGGATCGGCCACGGTTCAGGAACTTGACTTTTACAGAGAAAAGAACAAAAGAAGAAGAGGAGGCGCAGGGTGGTGGTGGAAAAGGTGGAGGAGGAGGACAGAGGAGATGATGTGGGCGAGGGTAAGGAGGGCTTGCAGATTTTCATATCAAATATGACAGAAAATAAACTATTTTATGATCAAATTGATCTTTTAGGTTTACCCTCAGAGGAACGAGTCACACCTGTGGAGGATTTTAAGTGTCAAATACAAAATGATCTCCATAAAATGCCTGCATGAAAGCTCTCTTCTAGTCTGTAACACTTCAAATTTGATATTATAATGTGATTTTATTTGGATTAACTAATAAATACCTTGAAATTCAAGTTAGGTAGAGCAAACATAATCAGAACTAGATTAGATTATTTTTTGTTATATATTCTAGAGGCTGATGTTAAACATGGCCAGAGAGTCCAGTAATGAGGTCTGCAAATTTAACTGGTCTTAACACTTTGGACTGTTTTTTGCCATCTCAGTCTCACAGCTCAGCTCATTAAGTTCAAAGCTCATGTTTACAAGGGGAAGCCAATCAGAAAGAAGCTGACTTTGAGGGGTGAAGAGATGAAGCAGCTTCTTTTATACATGGACCTGCTACGACCCAACGTAAGATAAACAAGGATTATAATTGAACAGCAACACATGGAGTCTACCTCAACCCCCCCCCCTTCAGACAACATCTGATGACCTCTCTTGTACCCATAGTGACAAGTTTTGACACCTAAGTATGTATCAATAAAAGTGGTTTCATGACCATTAGAATAGTTTACAGATCATCTTCGTGCAAACTTCTGATGAACACACAATTATTTTGTTCTGTAAGCAGGCCTGAAATATGACGGACACCAGCAGAGCTTCGATGCTTCCTTACTCCTAGTATGCTTTTAATGGGTAAAGATTTAAGAGAGTACACCTGATGCAGACAATGCAATGTGCAAACCAGAGGAAATGTACCATGTGTGCTACAATTTTTGCTACATTTAGTCAAAACTTTGTGCAGATTTACGATGTTTAAGAGAAACTCACTGTCGGCTCTGAAGGTAACGGCCAGCCTGCGGCCTCCATCTGCACCTGAAGGTACCTGAGGGAGAAAACAGAGATATATGAGACATATGAAAGTAACCACTCCTGATGACAGGCGTGAAAAAGCTTAAACTTTTAGCAGAAGATTATGCAAACCAGTCACCTAGCATGTCAAAACATGGCTGTTTCACTTCTTTTTAACAAAATGACAATAACGGTGAACAGACATTAAGTCTACTTGCTTTCTAGCCATGCAGACGTAAAAGCCATGACTTGGTCTTAAGATGGTGTTAGCAGTGGAAATCTTAGCAATAATTACATTTTTGTAAGATAAAAGCTGGCGCCTGAGAAAGGTCACCAAATCTCCATTTAATAGACGGGACTGGGCTATCCTTGCAACCTCACCCATGAGGTCTATTTAATACAAAGAACAGCAGATACAGTAACACATGATGAGCAGCAAGATAAGACGAGACATCAGCTCCCTTGTGAGCTACAATTACCCAGAAGCCCATTCTCCATGTTCCCACACAAAGATGAGAACTTTACGCATGTTTCAGCCTCGACTGTTTCAGCAGTTTTACGGCTTTGACCCTTTTTTATGTTCACACACACACACACACACACACACACACCCTCAGGCTTATTACAGAGGTGTCAGACTGGTCTCACACACCTGAAACCAATCAAAGAGACACCCAGCTGAGTGTGTGCGAGTGTTACTGACGGTGTGCTGTTTATTAGCAGCCACTGTACCTCACAAATACAACCCATCCATACAAAAAGACACACACACTTTTAATGACATACTTGTGAAGTCCCTCATTGTCCAGATCGCAAACCACCTAAAGGCAACACAACAATGATAAAAATAAATAAATAAAATAGTCCGCACAGACACACACAACGTTTCATCTAATCATGTTTGCATTAATCATACGCTGTGCTTTAAGTTGGCCTCTGCTGTATGAACTTTGACCTTTAGAAGTTTATATGCTGTGGTGTGTGCACGTGTCCCGCTGGCAGCATGAACTAAAAGGCTAATTAAAAATCAAGGGGGACGTTTTTTCCACCAACAGCACAGGGGGAGGAAAAAAAAAAAAAAAAAAAGGACTTCCTGGTTTCTTGCACTGACCCACAAAAACCTGGTTTTGCATGGAACTAGAGCAGGGCGATATGGCCAAAAATATTTATCATGATATATATTTGAAAATTTGCGATTAACGATATAACTGACGATATAATTGATGCGAGACAAAATACAGCTCCACAACATTACTAGCGCAAAAAGACAACCTTCCATTTATTTTCACTTAAACAAGAAGCTGGTTTTTATGTACATTAAAGCTTTATAAAAATGTAACAGTGCAAATGCAAATTCCTTGCTGAAAGTTTAACCAAAAGGCATTTCCAGTAGAAATGGGCTGACATATCCTGAGCATAACCATGTATAATATCCACTGAAGTTAAAAAGAGGTGCTTTGCAACATTAAACTGCAGTGTGCAGTATGTATTTTTCGGACCATAAGGTGCACGGGATTATAAGGCACATTAAGCGAAACAAAGCAGTCAGATAAATCAAACTTTATTCAAGCTTCCTCCACTTCTGTACCATTGATTCATTAATGTTGAATTCTCTGGCAGCTGCTCTATTCCCATGTTGTTGCAGTATATTAATGACTAACCTTGTATTGTGGATGGATTATCTCAGTTGTTCTCCTGACTGAAGTTTGGTCCGTTTACAGCATCCTGCCATGCGATTGCATTTGTCTCTAACCATGAGGAACCTTCACGTTAACTTTTATAAGTGGAAAAGTGTTAGTGTTCGTCCTCCAGCTTCACTGTTTATGTTATGCTAACATAGCTGTGTCGCTAGCGATCACGTAGCACATCATTATATACCAGCTAGCCCAACTTCAGTAACCCTACAAACGTCACTGCTGTTTAGTTTCCTGTCTTCATTTATGTTGGAAGTGATAGCAGAGCTGTACGTTTGAATTTTTTCAGAAATCTCTCAGTCAGAACATGCTATATCATGCTTAGGTAACTAGCGAAACTAGCGAGCTAACTTCCGCTAGCTTCCTGCTAACTTCTAACTCCGTTAAATGTAATAAATTTTGTTTTCATGGATGCCTGGAAGTTAAACTTCATAGTTACACCTGGTAAAGCAGCAATGCTGATCGTTTTATTAAAGATGAAAGAATTTAGACAGTTTTTAACTCTCAGTGATGCTGCAGTGTTCGTTTGACCTGAAGCATACGGAGTTTAGGACCCAGATTACTCCCAGATTTAAGAGCATCTTAGTCCGACAAATACGACAATAACGACGGCCGCTTGCATGTTCTGCAAAAAAATGTGCTTTGTCGTGTATCTGACGGACAAACACCAAACCAGTTCCACATCACTGAAGTTGCACCATTTTTACAAACCAATTCTGGTTCATCTGTTTCACTCAACAATCGGCCATGTGCGTATGAAAACAAAGGCACTGCGCATGCGCGCTTTACTCCCATTCTATCGCGATATTTCATTTTCCTATCGTTGCCTAACATTATACCGGTATTACCGTGAACGGTATAATATGGCCCAGCCCTACATGGAACTACATTTTTGCTAAAAACGTACGAGATAAAACATAATAACAAGTAAATAACTTTACATCACAGGTCAAGTACTCATTGCAAACACACATTTAAATTCCTCAAATTAGATCGTTCACTCTGGTACGAATCAGTTAGAAGTTACAAGTTTGTCAAGTTTTAACAGCAGTGTCACCACAGCCTCTGTGACTGACAGGTTGAGTTTTCCGTGTCACACCATAGCAGTAAGCACTGTTTACGGTGTTTGTTTACAATGCACGGTGTTTGTTGCTGAATTCACTTGTCAACAGTTATTATTTTGCTGTGCTGCAGTGGACAAACTGACAAGCATCAGTGGTTTTATTATGATTAAATAAAATAACTCATGAGAATCACACATTGTCTAAGAAAAGGGAAAAATAGTTTTTTTAATCAAATAAACAAACTTAATATTCTAAGATGCAAAAAAATAAATGTGCCGTGACGCCGCTGCTGGCACTTCTTAAAGTCATCAATGTTTACTTAACTTGACTATTCAAGATATTTATATTTTTTTCTAAGTAATAGTCTATTTAATAGTGATGTCTTAATACATAAATTATAATTAAGACAGTACTTTTGATCCGCTCCTACTCTGTTATGGGTTTTGCATTACAACATTTCCTGTATCTCTTCAAACACTCCAGCATCTTACAGGACAGAAACACTTGACTTGGCTCTGATCTTCACTGTCTGACAGTCCATTATGAATTTATTTGTTTCCAATCCAAAGCAAATGTTATTTTGGTAAGCAAATTTAAGGTTGATCATTTAACATGGTATAAACATTGTGTCTTCATTAATTAACAAATAAGTAAAAGCCATCCAATTGGGGGTCAGGCCCAGACTGACTATATTAGCCATCGTGCAAGGGCAGAAAATCTGCAGTGGCACTAAGAGAAAAGTGAGGCCCATGCGACAAGCTTAGCTACAGGAAGAGCAACGAAGGGCCAAAGCAGGCATCCAACCTACACCTCGACTGCGTACCATTCAAAGCTGAACAGCTAGCAGACCTCTGTCGATCTGAAGGGAAAAAGCATCGACTGGTTCACCTACAGAAAAAAATGTTGTGACATTTACTGAGATCCTGTCAACTAAAGGCTCCTTTTTTTTTTAAGTCTTTTTGGGTCAAGGTGAACAAAACAGCAAGAGACAAAGGCACACCGGAAAGGAAAGGGGTGCACCTAATTTATAAAACAAGAATTGGAAATTCACTGGTATTTGTGTAGCACTTTTCTAGTCTTACTGAAGACTCAACTTACTTGAGACTACAAGGTAGATTTAACCATACATTCCTTAAGTGCTTTACCCACCCAGCCCTGATTCTAAGGGGCTAAATCTCAGCGTTTAGTAAAAGGTGTCTTGTTCATTTCACACTCCAACTAATGGCAACTCTAAGCTACCCTAAAGTTACCCAGCTGTGTAAATACACCTGGAGTTTTTACTAACTTGCATATTTAGATAATTCAGAATTAACGAACTATTTCTACCCCTCTTCACCACCAGTTAAACCGCCCACTGCTGTGAGTCAAACTTTAATACTTTACAGCAGACACACACACAAAAAGCTTTTTTTCCTGTTGCCAGGTGTTTCTCACTAGTAATAATCATTATGCTTCTCCCCTGCAAATATCCACACACACAAAAATACGCACACCCCCTGAGGCCCGAGCAGACATGAATCCACATCAGTAAACAACTGAAAATACAAGTAGTTCATTATCACTCACAATAAATGACCGGATGAGCAGCTGTTTGACATCCTGTCCGCAGACACATAAACAAACCAGTCCAAAAAAAAATAATTTCACTTTTTCAGACAAGAAGAACAAAACTCTTTAAACAACAAAAACTTTTGAAGAAACATTGAATTTCCCTTGGGAATCCCCAAACATCACTCACTCACTCACACACACACAAAATCAGTTCCTGTGGTAATCAGACAGCTAATTGCAGGCTCAGTTAGTTGAAACAGTAATTAATCAGCGCACACAAGGGAGGAAAGGATCTAAGGACTCAGGAGAGGAATGGGGGAGTAAAGGATGATGGGAGAAGTAATGACCGAGCCTGCAGGGAAGGAAAAAGGGAAGGAAGGAAGGAGGAAAGAAGAGAAGGAGGGATCTGATTAAACAGGAACTTCTTCAATTACAGCTTTTAAGGTTCACTTAGCAGACTTCTCCTCTGCTTCGTTTTGTTTGGGCCAGCCAGACCAGTTCCAGATGTGGGGACAAACTCCCAGCTGACCTCTAATCAACATACTCCTCCTGGGCTGAAGCATAAACAAAAGTTCCGTTCAGGGGAGGAAGATTAGAGGAAGATTAGAGCTGCACGATGAGCTGAAGTGCCTGCAGAGCAGAGCGTCTGTCAGGCACCATCACTTATGATGCTGCTCACTTGTTTCTCAGATATTTTCAGATTTAAATCACAGATTTCAAAACGC